AGCTTATCAGCAGCTGCCTTCGCTACATACTAAAGATAAAATGGCGGGTTTGAAAGAATTAACAACAAAAAACTCTGGGAACAAACCAACCAAGAGCAACTGCTCAACAAATATGCAGAGGAACATGGAGATGAATTGGGCATATGTTGAGAAGGTCATTGAATGACATCGCGCGCGATGCAAGCCATCACTCGACTGGAAACCCAATGGGAAATGACAAGTGGGTCATTTGAGAGTGAAATGGAGTACATCATGCGAGGAAGAGATGAGAGATTATGGCAATCGTGAACCCAGCTGATGAGGACAGTGCCAAATAGAACAAAGTGGAGACGTGCTGTTAAGGCGCTGTATTCCACTTGGAATCCAAAGGATTAATTATACGGAAGAACAAACAATGCAACCGGGATTTAATTACAGAATGAGAACCAGTCGGGATAAACTAGTCTAAAATTAGGCGGAAGACTGTATGGATAAAAGTATTTCCATCCCGTGTAAGGCGTCACTTACCTACTGTTTTAATCAGCCAGTTATATACTCGATTTGCTACAAGGGATCACGCATATGCAATTCCATATTAGTTTGTTTATTAGATGTATCACACAGTGAAACAGTATTATTTACTGGATGACGTTTCGAACAAAATTTATTTATTGTTCATAATCATATCAATTATAATCACACAACTTCAAAACTTGAGTTTTATAGTTTTTTAGTTATCACGCATATGATTTTTAATCAATATGTACCTACTGCTGTACAATCCTCTGAGGAAATGAATGGCAACATCCTAATTGACTAGACTGTGCTTTCGTGGCAACAACACTAAGGCATGTGATACATTCTAGATTTCTATCTCAATTGAAAATCTTACACGCAGTGTAAATAAATTGTGATAAAGTTCACTGAGGAATCTCTACTGTGCGCAGAATAATTTTTCAGAATAAAGACGATCTTTTGAAAATATGAAGCATTTTCTCAACCAAAGCTTTTCAGGTTTGATGAATGAACTAGATTGTTGGGAATACATACACTGCATTCAGTCATATGGAAGTCATACCTGTTGTTGTCTACGTTGTTCAGTGGATAACTCACTGCTATCTGTTGTTCCGATGATGGGATTCTGGAATGTGGAACTGGTGAGGAAATGAAATAATTTAAAATAACAAACAGTTTAGATTTGAACAAACCGTTCTTGTCATCAGTAATTTGATGTAAATCAGATAGTTGCCTGAATCTACTCTGAAAAAATGCCTGCAAAGCCTTTGAGGCCTTTAAACAAAAAGACAAGAACTTACACTTGAACAATCCAAATAGAGGATTTATGGTTGTTAGTGCACTAGAAGCTTCTTCAAGAGGAATCTGCAAATAAGCATCTTTGAGATTGACTTTGGAAAAGTACTTTGAGCCATGTAGCTTGTAGAGAATGCCTTCAGCTTCCAGTGTAGTGCAACTTTGCTGTAGAAGGCGACTGTTGAGTGTAAGGCGGTAGTCACCACAAATTCTCGGTGTTTTCCTTTCAGCCTTCAGTGGAGTCACGATGGGAGTTGCTCAATTCGAAGATTCAGCTGGCATAAGTATGACCTGCCCATCGAACTTGTCTAACTCTTTCTTAACTGCATCTCTTGAACCGTATGGAAACAATCGGCGCTCTAGGAATACAGGATCATCCTCTATTTCAAGATGGATGGGATGAATCTTCATGCCACATACATACTTAGAACATTGGAGAACTAATTCTCTGAACAGAGATTCATCAAACAATTCAGTGCAAAGTGAGATTTCGACATTCAGCAATCTAAGGGCTTTTAATCTCAATAAAGATGGACCGTATTCACAAACAAGAAAGGGTATATTCACAAAACTACCACTGTCTGATTTCAAACCAATGTTAGTAGCACCAAAAAGAGGCAGTTTATGGCCAGTGACACCTGTAATGGAACGAGCAGTCGGGTCTACCTGAGCATGCTTACAAAGCAATAGTAAATCATTCCTAGAAATTCTAGATTCAATACTCCCAGTGTCTTTTATGATAAAAGAGTGAGACTTGTCTGAATTTGTAGTGAAGGTTCTGATCAGATGAAAGAGACATTGACTGCATTGCCAAGACAAATTGGGAGAATTATGAGTAGCATAAGTATTTGAACTCCGATAAACAGATATTATGTGACCGATTTCACCACATTTATTGTACTTAGCACTCCGAAAACGGCAACTGCATCGCAGATGAATCTTTCCCCGTGAAAAAACACGGTTGGATGATTTTGCTTTCGGTCTGCATTCTATTACGCGTGCATGACAGTTTCGATTTCATTTTATGAACACTTGCATTGTCAACTATGGACAGCATGATATCAGACACCGACGTAGTTGGGGCTGGGTATTCACTGTTGGCATCTTCATATGCAGTACATAAATCCTTAGCACTTTCAAAGGTGCAGGAAGGAGTCCTAATCAACTCTTACTCTTACTTCGGAATATTGATTCCAGCAATTAGGTAATCACGTAGTTGAGTAAGGAGCTGATCTCCAAAGTTTCACTTTAATGCTTGAATCTGAAGCTGGAGTATAAAGTTTCTAATCTTCCAGCTGATGGCATGAACAAACTTGTTGAACTGAGCCTTCTCTCGTCTTCCAAAAGTAGTTATGTAGAAGTGATCTGTTAGAAGTCCCCGAAGATTATCATTTGGCAGAGAAATTGGTTAATCTGGAAATGACAGAGTTTTCACTAGACTGTATTTATCTAGCCCAGTCGTAGTGTAACAACAGAAGACAAGGGCCAGGCAACAGAACGTTTATTACGGAAAATCAACACATATTTATAGATTTTGATGTGAAATATTGTAGGTTAATGTTAGTAGAAAATACAGTCTGTTGATTGGTTGTTTCTCACACAAAGTTAACCTTGCATCTCTTGTGGCTGTGTCAGTTCTGTATCCGCCTGTTCATCTTGACCTTGTCCTCAATTACTGTCAACCAATTTGGCTAGCAACCATCTCTCACCACAACATGACTAATATTTGATACATAAACATTGACCTCAATTACTGTCAACCACTTGGCTAGTAGACAGCTCTCACCACAGTAGTAATAAAATGAGCTGAAATTTTGTCATCACAAACATTCTTTGACATGCACCGTGTGACAAAGCATTCAAGACAATCGTCGATCTTCAACGGCGAACTGTTCACAGTAAACTTTCCAAGATCATTTAATTCCATAGCGACGCCAAAATGTAACCATTATTTGTAATAGTAGTATTTCCAAGTGACCGAATGACAAACAGGAAATCAACCAACAACACAGGGAGGGATGAATTTGGGAATTTGTATTTGGCGGAATTATTTGTAATTCACATAACAAATATTAACAAAAACCATTAAGTGGCGAAACGTCAGTAATAACAACATCGTTTTGTTTTTCAGTGTATTTTTTGTGTAATTCTATAGAAATTTTGAAAACCAACGTAATGATCTGAGCAGATATGCTCATGCTACTCTCGCAGACGTTTTGGAAAGAAGGAATTTTACATACTGACTGAAAGAAAGTCTGCCTTATCAAACTACAAACAAGGAAAATTAGGCCATTGCGAAAACTGGTGCGAAATATACCGTAATCCATGCTGCCTAATTTTATAGAGACTGCAAGATGCTTCAGATTGCAAAGCTCCGCCAGAAACAAGCTCAATTCCGGAAATATATGTCATGTAAACATCAAACTGTATCACTATACATCATCAACTGACTAAGCATTACATGGCAGTCAAATCTCTGTTTCAACTTCATCGACTATGTAAAATATGTCGATGGCGTTGATCGTCGAGCGATTCGGGAACAAACTCAACACTACGGAGATCTCTGAATCTTCATGGAGTACCGATCAACAGCTATATGGTTATATCGCCTGTCAAGTAATTCTTAGTGGCAGTGCCAGTGTATACAAGAGTCAAATATCACTGTTGATGTTCCTGCTTCTAGTTGACTGGACTGTGCAAACGACCGAGCGCAGCAAGAAGGTTGGTATACGTGTGACTGACGAGAAGCCACTGGAAGGTGTGAACTACACGGATGACAAAGCTGTAACGTCACACACGCGTAAAGATATGTGGTAAAAAACCAACAATTGGACGGAAGAAGAAGAAGCAAAGACAGCAATCAGAGCGAATACAGAGAAGTTAGAGGTGATGAAAACACCCAGATAACAACAACAGGCATCAATAACCATCTTTGGGAAAATACAAATATCGTTTTAACTACAAACAGCATAAGTGAGCGTGTCAAAGTTAAGATGGTAAAAGCATTAAACAGACATTCAGTATTCTGTGAACAGCGTGGAAATCTGTCACCACTGAACGTCAGGAATGCAATTCTGATTTCCAATGCTAATTTCAAATCAGTAATCCTTTATATTATAGACACTTGCAGCATCATAGATAGCATTTGCCGATAAGCTGCTGCGAACTTTCATCAGCACCCACCTCCTCTTAATATTGAAGTTCGGTTGGCCAGCAAGGAAACCACTCCGAATCATCCAGAAATCAATCACCAAAAAATATGCAAGGAGAAATGAACATAGGTTGGATACATGCTGAGGTGACCATTGGCTGACCGCATGTGTCAGACAGGTCACAGTGAGGACGTGAATAGGTAGCGACGACTGCAGCTTGAGCCTGAGGATGACGTCGTGGAGATAGTGTAGGGTGGAAATGAAAGCTGGTAAGCAATTATGGAGTCAGCTGAACAGCGCAAAATGAGTGAAGTGAAATGGATACGTGTTCCATAAAGGGTAGTGATGATATTAGTGATAGACATCGGAGAAGAGTATCGTGTATCAATTTCATTTCTTCGCACTTCCTTAGCTGTGCAGAATGTGTTTCAATTATTGCACTCCATCAACACATCTGATTTCACCATAAGGACGCTAAGGCATATTTCAAGTGTGTATATATTCTACAGTTTACAATTTCAGTGAATATACTACATAATCTGACATTCTGTTTGTGTTATGATCTTTTCAGGTAAATTAACTTCTTTTCAAGACTCTATTCCTAATTTCTTCATCTCTGTGTGTTTTTACTAAGCCTACTTACTGCTCAGATTATCACGCCACAAATATAGTTGGATACAAGTTGATTGTGGCGATAATCACCATTCATTGTCTACAAGTGAGCAAACTCTTTTCATTTTGGAGCTCATTCCTTTCACTTATTGTGGTATTATTCTGTGTGTAGGAGTCTGAATAGTAATAATTCACTATACGATACTGAGTTTATGCCTTTGTCTGAGTAAACTTAATTTAAAGAAATGCTATTCATTGAAGAATATCGGATCATCTCACATTTCACAGTCATCTGATGATAGTATGACTTTCTGTTAGACGCATCTTACGATAAATTTCAGTATGTGAAATCTAAAACAAAAGCCTCAGTTAATTAGGACCTATATATATATATATATAATATATATATATATACATATATATATATACATGTATATATATATATATATATATATTAAATATATCGCTTCATAGGCTGGCGTATCTCCGCTATGTTACTGCTTGTCCACTTCAAATGGTACCTATTAGCTTTCATATCCGGTGAGTTTTCGTGCAATGTTTTGATTGAATATTTTTTAAATTTCATTCTTTCAATAACAACGGGGTTTTAAAATAGACATTAGGTTAGACGATACACGGATTAAACCCAGTATGTATGTGTTATACTAAGCACACGATCGCCCGTAGGTTGATATTTGAGTTTTTTTATATTTTGTTATGGTGTTGTGGGATTTAAATAACACTGAACTCAAAATGGAGAGGAATGGTATCGGTTAATTCCCAAGAGAGGAAATAGTTGAGGATGGACTAAAAGGAAAAATTAATTGTGATCGTCTTACTCTAAATAGCCAACCGGTTGCATCAGTTTTATTATGCTATGTGCTTTGAGGTGATATTTCAAGAATTATTTTCGATGGAAATTAGAAACTTGTTAGTCACTGTAAACATTTGCAGGCATTGCTTTTGTCTGCTTTATTAGTCAGTCTACTGCCACAAGAGGAAGTTGAATGTTACAAGCCTGAATATCTTGAAGTCAATGCTGAAAAAGGTAAGTCTTCTGTAATTTGATATTTGTCGTTGAAGTAGGCATAATTTGCGTGTATTATGATCTTAGAAAATACATCAGTTTTTTCATTATTTGTTAAGGCGTAGATAAGATGTTTGTGATGAAACTGACTAATTCCTGCTGGGTGTTGTTTCATGTGACAATGAATGCAACCTGATCTGATACTACTGGTTTAGTTCATGACTAGAAGAAGTTACTTGACGTGGAATACAAAACTTAGGTTTCGTGCGTACATGCACTCCTGGCGAATTAATTTTGCGCCAATTGTCCACTGGTAGAACTTTCGCAATTCATGCACTCCTAAACCTCAATCATCATCCTGTGGTGCGCCTGTTAAAGAGAAGAACTCCGGCCTAGGGCTCACAACCACAACCAGTTAAGTATGCCACTGATACTGAATCTTCATAGCTCCAGCATGAAGCCATTCTTCCCATTCGAAACACAACGGATCACAGAAATGCACTCGTTATCAGGTTTCATTGCCAGACTTGGTAAACATCACGTTCACTTCGGACACAAGTGAGATTTGATTTCTCTAAATGTCAAATAACGCAGTACTTTGCGCTTTAATATACAGCACTGTAATCCTGCTTGGATAAGCGTACCCTACAGGTAAACATCTACCACTTGGCAGTTGAGTTGATAATTATGTGGTAATGGATTGACAAATCTGGCTAAATGAATGTCGACTACAGCTCCTTTCATTTTGTGTTTGATTTCAATGATATTTTTGACAGAACTATACTGTTTCCAGACAAGTGGTTTTGCTTTTCAAACTCATTATGGTTTTTAAATAATGAGTTAATAAAAAGGCGTTATCAAAATACTCTGATAAAGCTATTAGCATTAAGTAGCAAAATGTTAGTTGAAACAATATCGCTTTATGTTCCATTCATTGAGAAATAAAACACCTTTATTATAATGAATATCATATATCCAATGCCCAAATTTTTTCAAACTGTTAAAACTGAACTTGGTTTGAACATATACAGTGAAAGGAATATTTGCAAAGATGTGCCAACATAATTGGAAATTAAAGATAACCAGTTACGCAATGTATAAAGTGTTAATTGGGTTAGTAACTCAAATAATAACATGAAATAAGTAAGTTGAGTGACGCAATACAATTGAAGAGTAGAATTGAATAGAATTCAACTCAAGTAGAACCAGAGTCAAGTTTGAATGGCAATATGCATCTACAGATTCACTTGCTCGTGTGGAGATAGGAATGTCTGCCGTGTCCAGAGTTTGCTATCCAAACATATCATCTGACACTTACTCTCATGGTGGCATGAAGGCGGAAATTCTTAGAAACCGCCTTTTTAATAGTCTGAAGAAGACATTTCAAGCAGGCGCATTACGTATCATATTCTCCGGCAGACAGTTGATTCAGTCGAACGTTAACGCTTTCGGCCACCTCATTGTGTATTTATCAGATGACTTGCTCGTCGGGAGCAAAGTACACCAACCGTACGCAACGTCAAGTCCACAAGCGTATTCTGGGAAATTGACCAGCTTGGTTAGGCATACAAAAGAAGTTGGTTCAGTCCTAAATCTACACTGGACTTCATCTCGCTTAACACTGGATAAGTAAATCGTATGTTGATTACTTCCTTAAAGTGTTATTTTCTCCCATCACCCCTTACTAAATTTCTAACCCTTACAACCAATGTTGTTAACTTGATTCTGGTTCAAATATCAGTTGAATGCTACTCAACCCATTCAGTTATATTGCGTCACTCGATCTACTTATTTAATATTATTTTAGTTTCTACTCAATTGACGCTTTCTACATTGTGTAACTGGTTATCTCAAATATAGAATTCAAATGACATATTTTAGCAAATATTGCATTTCTTGCTAAGAACATTTATTATTCATATGCGACTGTGCAGCTTGAGAATGATATCACCGAAATATTTACTCTTTGCTGAACTCCTTCTCCATATTACGACTCAATGAGTATTTCTAAATGGTTAAGAGTGAATGAAAGCCTGTGAAAGTTTCTGCCTCCTTGTTGCCATCATTTCAATTGTAGATTAATTAGCTGTTGAAATCATCATAACTGTATTTGAGGTCAATATATCTGAATGATTCTAACAACAGTGAAGACGGCATCTTACTCCAAAGTTTTAATTCTCGATCTTCACTAACACTTCCTTGTGAAATTGTTTATTTCAGGAAGACGTAGAGCATTCTGGCTTCTTCAAGAAAAGACAGACTCACTAGTATTCGGATGGAATCGATTCGATGAAAAAGGCATTTCAAAGCTGACTTTAGAACGAGAAATAGACTGGGCCTATGATGATACTTTGGATCTCCCTTTGGTTGATATATCAGAATTCAATGTAATTGGGGAATCATGCGTAGCTGAAAAATACAATATACTTGCAAAGTCGTCAGGCGTATTTCGTTACTATGAGGAGGCGAGGAGGAGTCTGAAATACAAACGAGGTGAGTACATTTTGTGCTGCAGACATTCGTGAACATACAACAGTCTATATTTGGAACGAAGTAGTAAAATATGTTCCTGCATGAATGACCGAAGAGGAAACCAAATGCGTAAATAGTGTAGCATTTGCGCAACCGGTAGATACTGGACATTCAGGAAAACTAGAAGAGACGTTCTCGGTCATCCCCACTTTCTCGGAAATCTATCTAGATTAGCTCCACTACATCTCCCATCAGTAGCTGGAGCATTAATAATGAGTACTAGAAGACCCAATGACTGTATACCGAGGAAGCATGTCCTACCGCTGTGTTTACCATGGCCTACAGTAAGACCAACAAATCATCCGAAAACATTGGCATTTTAAATTCCTGTCCCACACTTTTCTCTTTCTTTCATTTACAGACGTCTATTTAAGACCTTCTACTACCTAACGACCTTACTGGGTGTATCAACTTAGGTTTACGCAATGCTTTTTCAAACTTGATATTATATTTACACAATAGTGTTCACTCCACTTGATTAATTTCAGGTATCGTCTGATAAACGTGTGCTGACAGGACACTTGAGTTGACACCAGCCCGTCATGTTTTGTTTCTCTGTTGTCTTCATATTATCTCACAGATAACTGATCACAATCACCTTTGAATACCACACTTTCGTTGGCTACGTTAATACTCACATTACTCAGTTATTCAACGTCATTCTATCGCATTTTCTCGTTGACCATACGTATTCCAAATGGTAATCGCAACTCACTCACCACTGCTATCAATCCGTCTTGTGCGTCCACCATTCAGAATATTTTGTGAATAATCCAAGTTACCTGTTACTTACAGTGTTGTATGTTAAAATGAGTGGATTCATCATTGAAGAGCCTGAAGAAGAGTTCATTGAAAACAACTTTTCACCCTAGTTATTCTTCTTCCGAATAAATTATCAGGATACTGAAAAGAAGATACCAGGATGAAACTTATTATGATGCAGGTGAAACAGATGACTGAAAATTATTGACTTTAGAAAGTTCAAAGTCCTAGCTAATTTTTTGATACTTTAGAAGTGATAAAAGCTTCGTGATTCATCGACACTTTCTTTTCGCGTTCTTCATTGTTGATAATACTAATGTCCACCATGTACCTTATCACGTTGTGAATATTCACAATTTTCTCCCCATTTTCAGTTCCGAGAGTTGTAGAAGTTGAATTCGAACCTGCGTCAAACAAAAGTCAATTGGTGAGATGGGCGTTGGAACGTTTTCCATGTCATTCCAAAGATAGTATGATCATGTTCGAAGGACTAACTGATCAACCTCTCGAAATGACCATTGTTCCTATTGAAAGTACAGTAACTAAGAAAACAAGAAATTCGAAGGACGTTGTCATCATCCTGGCGGCTTTCCATGACGGAAGATTCTCTCTACCGACTTCGGGTAACCAATTATATAATTATATACTCCGATTAATAATATCAGAACAAGACAAATAAGTGAGCAGGGTTTATGCATGTGGCGATAAGAATACCGAAGGTAGTAATCTATTTATATGTAGACAATTCGATAAATAAATGAATTAGGTGAAATCTTAAAAAGCACGTAATACTAAAGGTGAAATGGACAGATAATAAGAGTGTAAATAAATACCATTAAAACAACACGAATATAATGTGAAATAAGAAAGGGTGTGAGGGTTTTAATTAGACTTTATCTAGGCCAAGGGAGAGACAAATGTAGAACAAACTTCCTTTCTATGCGAAGACTAGGATTGTTTTCTGAAATTCATTCCTTTAGCTTTGGCCATGTGTAAAAGGTCGGTTCGTGTTCTGTTCGAAAGTTTCGATGAAATGCGATAGGTGACATTGAAGGCACTTCTTTTGTCCACTCGGTGATCGCTATCAATCAGACGAGTCAAAATAGAACTTCTCGCAGAGTTTATTCGACCTTTTCCGAACCATGAAGGAGGATGCTCAGTAATACGTTTGTTGAGCTGTACGCTATGTAAAGCTTTTTACACAGGAGCAGCTAAATTTGCAGATACACATAGAAGTGGTGCAGCTAGATAGCTTGTTATTCGCTTGAGCAATCATGATTGGTAGGGAGGGAGGAAATGACAAAGAAAGGGTGGCGGCTGTATAAGTCCCTTTCACTACTCTCTCTGCTTTATTAACCTTTATTGCTTGTTTTAAATTCGTATCGGGAAATAAATGTTTCCAACTCTCGATAATGTTAGATTGCAATTTTTATATCTAAATCTATGTGAAGTAGCGTAAAGCCTGAAGAAGATCTAATTGAAAAGAACATTGTTCACTTATACGTCTTGTTCTAAAATTAAATATTTACTAAAATAGTATCTGAAGCCTAAAATCATTTCAATGATAACACTAGATATGATGTAATATTGTGTGCAGAGGTGTACAGTACAGGGTAATAGAAAAGATTTTCTCTCTCTCGTATCTACATAATCAATGCACTCATGCCGAGATGGTAGGTATCTAGGTATCAGTAAAATGTTCGAGCATTGTGGAATAGATCAAATAAGTATAATTAAATTTCGATGGTTTACACACAATGGTAATTGTTTTGCATTTCGGTAATATAATTCTGAATACACAAAAATGAATGAACAAAAAATAAACTAGATATATTTGAGTACAAACCATAAATGTGTGAATTAAACAACAAAACAATTCAAACAGTTGGTGTGAACAGAGGCAGTTATTTTGTTCGATATATTACCGAAAACACAAAACCTATCATCGTGTGTGAACTATTGAAATATAATTACACTTTATTTGTATGTATCTTTCTAAATTGAGATCACTTGTAACGAATATCACGGAGAAACCAAGTGTAGAGACAGAATAAGTAGAAGTGAAAACGTAAATAACGGTTACATAGAGGAAAACGAGTAAGTGTTGGTTTGCAGGTATGTGATTGGCTACACGTCTGACCACTAGTTGGCATCAGTTGAAGAGCCGTTGGAAAACCAGGGAGTAATGAACATCTGTTTGCTCCCAGTTTGGAACTCTCGATCAGTACGCACTCATCGAGGTTCGAATCAGCGCCTTCTGGTTACTGAACTACCACGTCTTCTAATTCTCCTGTATTTGTTGTCAACTCGTGATCATTCAAAACCCTACAAGCCAAAACTATAAAATTATTTTGACTCTCACTGGTGACTGGATTACCTATGACACTGGTCGGTGCTTGTGATGTATATTTATAGTGATTCGACAGAAGGTGGTCAGTGTTAGAATGTCTGAAGAGGAAAATGTCGATTTGGTTGATAGATGGTTAAGATTTAAAAGACAACAAACAGGATAAAACAGAGTTGAAATCAAAGCTCCACAAATAGCAGTCAGGAGAATATAAGCAACCTATGAAATGTGAGAAAAGTAGGCGAGAAGTAGCAGTAAAATCAGAAACGATAACAATTTTGAAAGAAACCTGAATTCAGCAATCTGATTGAGGAAAAGAGATGGAAGAGTGAAAATGTCAACTGGGAAAAATAATAGCGAAAACTGTAGTAAGCAAAAGTCGAAATGTTGTGCATGAAAATTATACCGCAAAACGCCTATAGAAATGTTGCATTGAACTAAGTCAAGGAAAACAGAGATATGACTTCACAGATTATAATATGAGGAAAATTATTCTAATGACGTTTCATCTAGCAGCACAAGCAACAACAGAAAACTGAGAAGAACCGCAAAACAGATTGTGGACAAGGAAGATAAGCGAAACAACACAATTAGCACCGAACGACAACTATCAAAATTGTCACTATCAGATGAGGATATACACAAAAATGCCCAATAAAATAACAAACAAAATGAAAACTTGAACAAAATTAGTCCGAATTTCTAACAAGGTAAGAAAGAATAACAAATTAAATACCACCGAAAAACCAAAAGGGTACAGAAAAATAAGTAAAACAATATGGAACTAAAAGCGCTAACAGGCAGTTAGCAAAGAAACACCGACCACGACACATACAATCTCTCCGAGTGTACGTGTTTGTTGTATCATTCCATAATGAATAAGATTTTATTTTGATAAATCACACAGTGTAGTACAGTTATATTAACTGATGACGTTTCGAGCACAAACTATTGCTCATATGATATTGATATGATTATGAGCAATAGTTTCTGCTCGAAACGTCATCAGTTAATATAACTGTACTACACTGTGTGATTTATCAAAATAAAATCTTATCCATTATGGAATTATACTCTACCACAGTGCCCAAGTTTTGTTGTATCATATCTGAGTGGTTCATCGCACTCACTGAATCATCACTCGCGAACACCTCACATTTCGGGCGAAATCGCCATCAACAATCCTCAGACAGGCTTGATATCCACCTGACACAATCTCTGTCGTCACGATAAGGATGAGTGCAGTGTATATTGACTGATTGATTGATTGATTGGAGAATGTAATCATCAGCAAACATCAGTAAGAGTACCACTGAAAAAAAGGGAGAAATTGATAGACATTTCGTTCAAGTTTGGAACTACACAAAAGTACACACCAGCCAAGATTCCAACACCGACATGCTGCTAAATCACTCACTGAACTTCCCACACTGCTTTCTTTTCCAGAATCTCCACCGCCGTCAAACATCGAGGAAGAAAAAGTCGAGTCAGCGCCATCAGGTGAGTACATTTAACTTTCACTCATGTCACTTGTTAACGGATCGTTTGCAAGTATACTCTCCTTATTTTATGAGGGACAATATTCATTGGTGGGTTTGAGGTGAGTTTTTTCTCTTATCTCCGGGATCACCTACTTTACATTCACTTTTTACTTATTATTGATCGCTTAAATGAATTTTCTTCCGTGAGAGATAAGTAAGGGTAGTTATAATGAAAATAACGGAAATAAACTGTAAGAAATACACTGAAGCAAGTAAAATCACAAAGAGGTATTTCAGCGTCTTAAATATCTTGTTTTCCATTTACTCTAATTAAGATACCGGCTACACGAGTTGCGCTGTACACGAACGTTAGTGTTTCTCCTGCCACTGTGAAAACACTCGTCCTCCTGAGACCGGAGACAAGTCGAGACAATAAATTGACTGTTCAGAATACGAGACATATATTTCTGGATCAGGAAGATTTAGCGTCGAAGCCGATGCAGAATAAATAAAAAAATTCTTTCCATTCCTCCTCTTCGCCAATAAACCCAATGATGAAATACTCAGTATATTTGCAAGAGACACACTGCACACTTAATCATGTCAGTAGCCTACAACGATGTCAGGGATCAGATAAAAGAGAGAGAGAGAGTGGAAATGATTGAAAATGAACTCTTGACTACATAAGTAGAAATAGTAACATGTATAAATTAAACCAGGAAACACTTTTTGCAGGAAGTCAGGAACAACATGAAAGTCCAGGAGAAGAAGAAGAAGAAGAAATAAACATTGGTGAGTCCAGAATGTAAACGATGAACTGACTGGATGAAAAAAATGAAAGACATTCCTGTCGATGTTAATCCTGCTTCATGGTCTAACTACTAAATTCTGCATAAATGAAAAAAAATTCTACGAAATTAAAAAGTAATCGAAGGAATTTTGTTCGAATCACAAAATAATGAGTGAACAATTTATAATAAAATTGTCTCAAAAACTCGTATAGTAACAGTGTAAATACACAATTACTACTATTTTTATAGTAGATTTCATTGACGATGTGATGATCAAGCAATTGTCAAATGACTGTTGACTGAATAGGAGAAATGGAGGCTTTTCCTGAGGCTAGGCAATAGACGAATATAAGTGAATGCTCAGTCGGAATGAAAATCATTAGCCATCAGAATGATGTGATTTTAAACAAGTGACGGTAAAAGTGTATACACACACCCAACCATCGAGAATAAACGCGCTCCAGAGATGTGACGTGAACGAGTGTACACCGATCGAGGCGATTGCATCGTAAAGGTGAAGTCAACATTCTTACTTGAATTGATGCATTTGTGGCTTCCTAATTCCCATACTTTTGATTTCCACTTTATTCAGAAGCTCCAGTTACCACGGCGGAGAAGACGACAGCGGCTGTGGAATCCACGACACGTGAGTCCACTTCATTTCTCACTCATGAATGAAAAGACGCACACACAGAGATAGAGAGAAATGGAGAGAGAGATGGCGTGATTTGTCTGCAATATGTCACCCTTCACTCTCGATATTGGATAGGTAAGTAGTGACATCTGTGATTTGTGAACTGGGCGATGCAGTCAGTATGATTCCTGTCTGGATAGCGTGATCACATATGTTCTCGTTGTACATCTGTGTGGAAGGCTTGACCAAGGACTAGAGATGTATTCTGAATGTGGGTGAAACCGATTATTTCGGCTTGAGGATGACAGATGAGAGGGAAGGAATCAAGGTGTTTGAGGATACCACCATTCTATTCAGTAGAGTTCTATTACGATGTGATGATGAAGCAAATGTCAACTGATTGATTGTTGGCCGAATAAAACAACTCGAGGCGTTTACTGGTACTAGGCATTAGACGAATATACGTACACATCCGCCGTGGTTCCAACCTTGATATGCCGGTAAATCACTCACTGAACTTCCCGCACTGCTTTCTTTTCCAGAATCTCCACCGCCGTCAAACATCGAGGAAGAAAAAGTCGAGTCAGCGCCATCAGGTGAGTACATTTAACTTTCACTCATGTCACTTGTTAACGGATCGTTTGCAAGTATACTCTCCTTATTTTATGAGGGACAATATTCATTGGTGGGTTTGAGGTGAGTTTTTTCTCTTATCTCCGGGATCACCTACTTTACATTCACTTTTTACTTATTATTGATCGCTCAAATGAATTTTCTTCCGTGAGAGATAAGTAAGGGTAGTTATAATGAAAATAACGGAAATAAACTGTAAGAAATACACTGAAGCAAGTAAAATCACAAAGAGGTATTTCAGCGTCTTAAATATCTTGTTTTCCATTTACTCTAATTAAGATACCGGCTACACGAGTTGCGCTGTACACGAACGTTAGTGTTTCTCCTGCCACTGTGAAAACACTCGTCCTCCTGAGACCGGAGACAAGTCGAGACAATAAATTGACTGTTCAGAATACGATACATATTTCTGGATCAGGAAGATTTAGCGTCGAAGCCGATACAGAAGAAGCAAACCCCACTGTCCTTTGAACTGGTACAATGAAGCGAAAATTTAATGCAGAATACAAAATGGTGGAAATCATTTTGTGGACTTTTTATTATTGTTATTTTTGTTACCTTAGGTCTACTAGTGGTACATAGGGCTTCAACTGCACGTCTCCACTTGTTTCTCTCTTGTGCTGTACTTTTCACCTGCATCCGTGTTAGTCCATACTGTTCCAGCTCCTCTTCACATGATCTCCTCGATGTCACCCTTGGACGTCTCATTCACCGCTTCTCTTTCGGGTTCCACTCAAGGGCCTGACGCACGATGTCACCTAGCGGCCTCCTCAGAGAGTGTCCAATCCATCTCCACTTTCTCCTGCATATTTTTTGAGCGATTGGTTCTTGTTTTGTTTGTTCCCATATTTTCTTGTTGGTGATTCGTTCCGGCCATCTGATCTTGAGTATAGAACGAAGACAGCTGTTGATAAAGGTCTGTAACCTGTTGGAAATGTTCTTTGTGACTCACCAAGTTTCTGATCCGTATGGAAGAACTGACTTGAAGTTTGTATTGAAAATCCGAATTTTGTTGTTGATGCTGACTGAGTGACGAAGATTTCCAGATTGGTTTCTGGTTGATGAATGTGTTTCTCGCCTTCCCGATTCTCCATTTGACATCCTTGTCCGTTCCTCCTGTTGTTGAGACAATGCTCCTTAGATAAGTGAATGAAGTAACCTCTTTTAAATCCCTCCCGTTGATGGTGATTGGCTCTGGATGTTGCTGCTGCTGTTGTCGTTGTTGGTCGGTTATTTTCAACACCTCCATCTTGTCTTTTTTCACCTGGAGTCCTGTCTTCACTGCTTCTTCGACCAGTTTGTCGGTTTTCGCTTGTAATTCTTCGATTTTGTGAGACATCAAACATAAATCATCCACGCGCGAAATCCAGGTCTTCTAGGTTCTTCACGTCGGTCCAGGATATCCCTGTCTTCTCATTTCCCACTGTCTAACTCATAATCCAGTCCACCATAATTAGGAATATCTTTGGTGATAATAAGCACCCTTGTTTGACTCCAGTGTTTACTCCAAACGCCTCGCTGAGTTTTCCGTTGTGGATCACTTGACATGTGCCGTTGTCTTACAGCTGTTGAATAAGGTTGATGAATATTTGGGGTACGCCGTAGTACTCGAGTAGTTTCCAAATTACTTCGCGGTCAGCGCTGTCGAAGGCCTTCTCAAAGTCTATAAGGTTGAGGTAGAGGTTTGGTTGCCATTCCATGCTTTGTTCGATGGTGATGCGTAGAGTTACAATTCGGTCAGAACATGATTTGCCTTTCCTGAATCCAGCTTGTTCTGGTCGGAGTTCTGTATCCAGTACGTCCTTTATCCTCTCCAGGATGATGTGACTCAGAATTTTACTTGGCGTCGACAGAAGCATGATTCCTCGCCAGTTCTTGCAGAGTCCTAAGTCACCCTTCTTTGGTAGTTTCACAAGGTAACCTTTCCTCCAGTCAGTAGGCACCTTCCCCTCCTTCCAGACGTTTTGTAATAATGGAGTCAGCATATCTGCTGTCGTCTCTGCGTCCGCTTTCGGTGCTTCCGGGGTTATTCCATCTGGTCCAACTGCTTTTCCAGCTTTCAGAAGCTTGATTGCATTTAAGACTTCAGCTTTCGTTGAAGGATTGGTGTCAACTTTCAGCTGTGTACGCGCTGTCGTTGGTATTTCTGGACGGGTTACAGGTGGTGGTCGGTTCAAGAGTCCTTTGAAGTGATCCGCTCATTGTTTAATCTGTCTTTCTTCCTTGGTAATTGGGTTCCCTTGGCTCTCTTTTATAGGTTTCACTTGTGTTGATCTCTTCCTGGATAGAGACCTGGTTATCTGATATAATGTCCTCAGGTCCCTTTTGCCTGCTGCCTTCTCAGCTTCAGTGGTCAGGTTGTCGTAGAATTATCTTTTGTCCTTCCTGGCACTCTTCTTCACTTCTTTGTCCAGTGCTGTGTAAGTTGAGCTCAGTGTCTCTTTCTCTTGTCCGTCATTGCATTGAATCATTTTCTCTTTCACCATTCTCCTCTCCTCTATTAGCTTCCAAATGTCCGTTGAGAGCCATTCCTTGTCTTTTCTCTTCTTTCTTCCTAAAACCGTTGAACACGTTTTGTTAAAAACCACCTTCAGAGAGTTCCAATGGTCTTCCACGGATGATTCCTCAGTGATGTCACGTAGTGTTTCTTCCTTTGCTCAGACAGCTGCAGTGAAAGTGTCTTTCGTGGTTGTGTCCTTCAGTTTTTGAGTGTTGAACTTGCATTGTGGCCTATCCCCAGGTATCCTCGAGGCTTTTAGCTTCACCTTGAAAGTCCCTTGTACTAGATAGTGGTCTGAACCCACGTCTGCTCCTCTCCTCGATCTTGTGTCCAGTAGGCTCCGTCTCCACTTCCTTGAGATTGAAATGAAGTCTATCTGATTTTTGGTGTGTCCATCTGGTGAAATCCATGTCGCCTTGAGTATATCCTTGTGTTTGAACACACTGCCACCAATCACCGAATCATTGAAGGCGCAGAAGTCTGAGAAGAGTTCACCATTGTCGTTCATTTCACCGAGGGCCTCACGACCCATGGTGAATTCTCTCCCTGTATTGTCTCCTCTCAGTTTCGCATTCATATCACCCATCAGGATTTTGATATCGCCATTTGGGACTTTGTCCATTATTGCTTGTAGTTGTATGTAGAAGGCCTCCTTCTTCTCTTGTTCTGAGACGTTTTCAGGCGCATAGCATTGAATGATTGTAACCTTCCTTCCTTTTGAGTTGAACCTGGCTGTCATTATCCTGGAGGAGATTGGTTCCCACTGCATGAGAGCTTTGGCTGCTGTTGGTGACATCATGATGGCTACTCCCTCGGTGTGCTGATGATTGTCCTCTGGGTGACCGGAGTAGATTATTGTCTCTCCAGTTGGTAGTTGGCTCCTTCCACATCCGTTCCATCTGCTCTCGCAGATTCCCAACACTTCTATTCCATATCTTTTCATTTCTGCGGCTACCTGAGCAGCCTTTCAGGTTTCTTAAATTAAACGAACATTTCAAGTCCCCATCCTTATTTTTGCTTTCATCGAAAAGAGGCACATCTGCTGAATGGCTTCCCGAAAGCATTCACCAGCCTGCGTCATTTCACGTCGCCGATTCCGTTGAAAAATGAGGTTAATGTTTATAATTTTAGTACTTTCAATACATTTATGCGTTGACGTTTCTGTAGCAATTTATTCAGGTTTTGAGGATGGAGTTCCTAGCACCACACCCTAACCCTCACTCTATATCCGGGCATATGACCGGCGAGAAA